AATAGACTTTATAAACGATGTTAAATTAAACCTTAGTTAAAACCTTTAGTTCTAAGACATTTCCTTGACTGTGCCATGCATGTAAACCAGTGTAACGGCAATAAAGCATTCTTGTTCTTATTCTTATTCTTATACAATATTCTTGGCATCGATATTAATATAAACCTTCCCCCCACAGCAGAAAACCTGAAGACTAAGCAAATTTCCATTTACCTGGCTGGGTTGCTGAAATAAATCAGATGAAATAAATAAAATTGCAAAATTTGATTAAAATATATCCATAAACAAGCAAACTACAACAATTTATTTATTCTCCATAAGAATAACATGAGAATTTTAATGTTGTATATATTTTTTAGTTATCTCCGTAACCGTTAGGCATACAACAACGCTTCAATATACAAAATTATTTCTTTTTTAAGCTCTACAAAATGGTTTGAAAAGAAATTAATAAATTTTGTGTTTTTAGGGTGATTATCCCTTGTAATACGGTAACAGTAGCTCATTATCTATATGGGAAACTCACTAAAACACAATCAATTATAATATATTTGTACCTTGCCACTTTGAAATCACACCCGTTACAACACAAACCAACCCCCAAACATATGCAATCCTTTTTTCCGAGAATTATATTTCCTCAACTCCATATAACTGAATCGCAGAGGATTAACGAATTGTTTACAGCCCCACAGATTTCTACCCTTGCTATTTTGGGCTCGTGCAATTTCCTTTGTGCTGGCAGGTTGTTCACCCCGGAAGGTGATGGTTGTACAATAGCTGGAACTATCGGATGTTTACACGAAACAACAGTGGTAATCCGGAGGTTTTGACAACCTGTCACTCAGGCTCACGATTTATGACGAGTTCGAGGTAGCAACTTCAACTTGGGCGGCCAAGGTCACCAACCCACGAGGCAGCCTCTGGAGGTTGTCGAAGAACCCTGGAGGTTCAAGTGTTAAAAGTAGTCAAATTTTAACTATGAAATATGGGTACATAGCCAATATTGTTTATCAATACATTTACTAGGTTTTATCATTGGGTTTTGGATACTCATGTAGAGGTTTTATATCTTAATGGACTACTGTAGTAAGTTTTTAGCAAATTTCCCATATAGGGAATGAGCTATGGTAGTACTCATGGTAAGACCTGGACCAGGGACCGATTTAGTTTTCTCTTTGAGGTCCCTAGAGGCCAAAAACGTCATCCGTTCAAATTCATATATATATTATCAGGATAACTCGAGGAAAGATGATCCGATTTTGATAAAATTTGGTATAAACGTGTAAACCTACATTTATTCGAACGAGTTCGCGAACCAGCATAATCGGACTATGGGAATGGGGGTTCATTGGGTTTTATGTGATAACAATATTGTTTTTTTTTTCTATTCTTGACCCAAAAACATAAAATTTAGCAATTTCTTTCCAAACCACTTAGTAGAGCTTAAAAAAACAAATAATTAAGTACGTATATTGAAGCGTTATAATGCTCGTAATGGTTACGGAGAAAATAAAAAAAAAATCGTAAATTTAATATTCCAAAGTTATCCTTAAGGAGAGTAAGTAAACTGTTGTATGTTTATAAACATAATTTTATCAAATTTGGAAGATGCATTTATTTCTTAGGCTATCAAACTATTAACATTTTACAAAAAAACACTTTTTTGCCCTGCTGCAGCAAACCTAAGTACCTACTAGCCATAAAACCCATTTAAATTTTTTTGTTAAATTTCAAATTTTATTTTGGGCTTATTTTTGAGTTTATTTTAATTTATAATGGGATTCTGCACTTATACGGGAAAATATCTTTCCAACAGTATGCGTAGATTTTCCCTGCAATGCACACGAGTTGAGAATGCTTGCCTATTAATATATAGATTGTCTTTTCAGTTAAACTTGTTCAACAATTTGCGTATCCGTCAGAAATCAACTGTTGCCAACAGTTACGGGCTGTCGGTCGGTGGTTCAAATCTGTTATACGTTAGTTTTTTTCCCAAACTTGCTATAAATTTAACACGGGAATGGAATAGCCTGATAAATGTGTATAAAATCTTGTTTTGAAATTGTCTGTAATTTGAAGTAGCAAATATAATATTCCCAGGGAGTGAGAGCCTAAATTACCAACCAACATTGCTCTTTGTATAATTTGTAGGTAATCCTAGACTGTTAGTGTAGTTTAGGTTGTTTATTGGACTTTGTAATCTTAACGTTATGTATAAACACCTAAGCTGTAAATTTCTGTCTTGGCAAATGTTATAACATTAGCTTCTCTGTGGATTATATAAGCTTTAACAGCAAATAATAATAGATAACATGGGAATCTAAAACGTTCTACCATTTAGTACCTCGATAGCCAATAAGTGTAGAGTAAAATTTAATACATTCAGAAATGTAAACGAAAATTAAAATAATTAGTTTCTGGGTACAAACTGTGCCAATCCATCCTAAATTCTCATAGTTTAGTATTTATTTTTATACTTGCATGTGACTGGTATGTTTTATATCTAAATTCCTCGATATGACGAATTGCATGTATTTACTGAACGATAAACAAAAGTCTTGAATGTCATGTTACATCTGTTGTTGCAACGGTTCATGAATTCTTTAAAAGAGAATTTGTTTTGGATATTTGTAACCCTCATAAAAGTGAGATAGTGTTCAAAAAGGTTACTAGAGGACCCATGCTGCTCCGCAGCGTTGAAACAAATATCATATCCGAGAAATAATCAAATTTATGATTTTTCATTGAGCAATGCAGTATCTTGAATTTAACCGATGCAAACAATCAAAAGCTCAAATTAAAGCCTATAATTTACTGATTATTTTGAGTCTAAAACATATAAGAAAATTTCAAACAATACTGGAGCTATTAGTTTTTGTCATAGAAAAACCTTATAAAAATGATTTTTATGTTGGTTGTTTACCTTTCGTTTGCTTAAAAATCTTCAGATTTAAACAACTAATAGCTTAAATGAAAGAAGGTATTTCACTGAAGGTTCTTAGACCAAAATATATAGGACTATGTAATTATAACTGGTGAATAAATTGAAGTAAGAATTTGAAAATAAATCAAATTTATGGTTTTGTTCGAGTAATACAGTAGATAAACATATGCCGATGCTTGGTGTGAAATCTGTGCGTGCATACTTTCAATTTGATACCTCAATCATGAAAATCCAGAGTAGTGTGGTAGAAGAGATAAACTAACTCGGAAAAGAAAAACCATTTTTTTTTAACAGGCCTATATAAGATTTGTTTTGGATATTTGTTAGCCTAAAACCCTTATAAGAGTGGGATAGTGTTTAAAACATTATCGTCCTTTATATCGATTTAAATCTATCATATGGTAACTAACTATTAATTTTAATAATTTTTAATGCTAGCGAGACACTAAAAATGAAGAGGTTCAGTGGTCTCGCACCGGTAAATAGTACGGGAATGTCGCTACCGTTTTTCTCCTTTTAGGAAGGTTCTCTTGGGTTTATATTGGCTAACAGCAACGGCTCAACCATTTTTAAATGTATGGTATCACCAAAGATGGCGCGCGTGATTAAAATTAACTTACAAAATAAATCTCGGTGTCTACTGTATGTATTTAAATATTTAGTTGATCGTATGAAAAGAATAAATTAATTACATAATTAATATGTGATATACTGTAGCGATGTATTAACCAATTTTCTTTTCAGCACTTTTATATTTTTCAATTTAGTTTTAATTTCTGTTTAATTATGTACTTCATCTCTTTTTATCGATGTATATGTTATAAATAGTTGTTTTTCAGTAAGCAGATTTTGTGACTGGCCACATTCGAGGGCCAATCCATATACAAATTCCAAAGTACCAAGGAACTTTTGAGAAAACTAAAAGTCATACCCCCATTATAAACCATATACTTAAAATGTCGTCATGACGATAAACCTTGCGCAAAACTATCCATTATTTCATAAATTGACCTTTAAGGTCGTAATTCCTTTCTAAAGGGAACTTAAAGGGAACTCCATATACGTAATGTTAAAAATACCTCAGCTGTACTTATTTGTTTGTTATTCTTTCAATTTATTACCTTATTTAAAATCAGGTGTGATTATTTGTTTGTAAATTATAGATAACATAACCAATACATTTATTTTTTTTATTTTTTTTAACTTTATTTAATTTAACATTTGTTCAAGTTGAACAATAAGCAAATGATATAAATAATAATACAACATTAACTTGAAGAACATGAGCTAGTGATTGACCACTGTCAACACTAGGTAACAAAGAGAATTTAGCCGAATCGGAATGGGAGGTCCAATATCGTTTGTCGCTTAAATGGTGTTGTGATTGTCCAATAAATTAAGTGCAAGATAATTTGAATGATTTTCCAATTTTATAATGTATTTTTCACTAGATTTTGTAATTTCTTCTTTGACTGTTCGAATTTGAAGATCATTGTGAAGTGTTCTGTTAGTAACAAACCAAGGAGCGTTGACAATTTTACGTAATCATTTTGATTGGTAACGTTGAATAATTTCAATGTTTGAGGTACTTGCTGATCCCCAAAGCTGAATACCATAAGTCCAAATTGGTTTTAGAACTGTTTTGTACAGTAACAATTTATTTTGTGTACTGAGTTTTGATTTAGATCCAAGAAGCCAATTAAGTTTAGTTGTTTTTAAATGTAGATGTTGTCTTTTAGTCCAGATATGTGCCTTCCAATTAAGCTTTGCATCTAAGTGCATGCCCAAGTAGCCTATTTTATTTCTGATACTTGGAGGACATGTAGCCTGATTTAAGGTAAAAGTAATGTGTGCTGATTTATTTTGCTATAAGTAAATTAGTTGTTTACTTAATTGTGATCAGTGTAATATCACATCACAGTTGTAACAAGTAGTTTGACTCGTGATGTTTATCCATTGGTCAGGTTACGCCGGAAACACCGCCCACAATGTCCGCCGGAAGCTCGAGCCACATTCATTTATATTGTCAATAAACCGACAAAGCTCGTGGATGGAATCGTTTTCCAAGGTGGATACAACTAGAATCGTCCCTTCCCCCCGCAAACTGACAGCCCAGTGTTGTATCAATTAAAGCGGTAGGGTGCATGTTTTGTCCACAGTCGCGGTGGAGGGGGTGCCACATCGCGCTCCGGTTGGTCGATGGGAGGGGCTCGGCTCGGTGGGCGGGGCTACAGACTCCCCGCTATGCACGGAATATACAGCTGTCAACAGGACAAGTTGTTCAGTAGCGATAGAGTCGTCGTACGAGCAACAACTCAATCTGCGCGCTCCGTTACATACTAGTGTCCCGTTTGCTATGTTGAGCGGATTACGATCGTTTAGTGTTTGTGTTTTCGTCCAGTGTAGTTTGACTGTGCACCAGTGAAATAGACTTTAGACTGTTCTATAGTTCGTGCCGATGAACCATGGTGAAAATTGAGCTTTTACCATACGACATTCCGATCATGGCGCGAACCCCTCTCAAATCTTCGTTCAGCATCAGTTCCATTCTGCCTGAGACCGCATCCCAACCGCCGAGTCCCAGAAGTCCCGAGATGGAGAGTTGTGTCCCGCCTAGTAACTCCAGTGGTAGTGACGTCAGCGACTTGGAGTCCGATCTGGATGTGACGGGAACGGGAACACCACCTCCGCTGGACTGCACCAACCGACCCTCCGAGAAAGAGGACAAACCCGAGGAGAAGAAGAAAAACGAAAAACCACCTTACAGTTACAACGCACTCATCATGATGGCGATCAGACAGTCTCCGGAGAAACGCCTCACGCTGAACGGCATCTACGAGTACATCATGAGAAACTTCCCGTACTACAGAGAGAACAAGCAAGGTTGGCAGAACTCTATAAGGCATAACCTATCTCTCAACAAGTGCTTCGTCAAAGTTCCCCGTCACTACGACGACCCCGGCAAAGGCAACTACTGGATGTTGGACCCCAGCAGCGAGGACGTGTTCATTGGAGGAACCACCGGCAAGTTGAGGAGAAGATCTACAGCGGCTTCCAGAAGCAGGTTGGCAGCTTTTAAAAGGTCAGTGGTCCTCGGTGCGGGTTCCCTGTATCCTGGAGGTATTGGGCCAGCTGGAGCTGCAGGAGCGTTCCCCGCTCCTTGGATGTCTCACCTGGGACAGTTCTACTGCAATCCTGCGTCCCTTTACCACAGGTTCCCCGCTGGATATCCTTACCCGGCTCTGCTCCAGCCACTGCCCAAGCCGACGCCTCTGACTCCTGCGATAGGATTCTCCGTGGATCGACTCCTGGCCGATTCTTCCTCCACGTTTCGCCCTGCCGTCTACCCTCCTGGCTACGACCTCTACAGCAGCCTCCGGAACTCCCTGCAGCACCAACAGCTGATGGCTGCCGTGTCGCTCCCCACGACCTCCACGACAGCATCCTCGTCGTGTAGTAGCAGTCCCGAGCCTAGACCCATCTACAAACCCGTCACTGTGCTGTCCAGGCCCTCTAGCTAGTCGTGTGTATAGCGGACACTTCCATTACCAAAGTGAGTCCTTATGATCTCTTATTTATGTATCGCCTTTTGTAAATAGTGTATATTGTGTTATTTGTTATTTAGGGCATAACGAGAACCACGATCAATTACTAAGTAATTACACGATAGACTGTAATTAGTTGTTTATGTTTATAATGAGTTTAGTGGTTAACAAAATGAAAACATGCCCCTGCAATGCCTTAATTAATCTAAGATGTTCTGTAATTTAATGTAAAGTGTAAGTTTGTGTTTTTGTCTTAAATGATGTTTTTTTCGTTTTTGTTTGCATTGCACGGTCCATATTTATTTAAATGGTAAACCTATACATAAATCTAAATTTTATCTAATAAAATGAATATTTAAAATCCATCCAATTTACAATTTTACCTAAACAAACTTGAATAAAAAAATACTTTACGCGGGTTTTCTAGTGTTAAAGGAACTAGGTAATTAACACCTAAACTTAACAACAACGTAGAACTAGATATTTTGGATAACTATCAGATTTATAAAATATTTACAAACATCATTATTTTGAAATATCATCAAACTTTTTAAGGTACCGTAATCGATTTACCGCCAAATCTAGGCTGGCTGCATTTTAGGCGCCTATTGCAGACTCCACTGCCGCCGTCGGGTCTGCAAGTTTCCTAATTGCGTGGTGGCCTAAAACGTTTTACATGTAACATGATATTTTTGCACAGGTGTTGTTTGTTTGTTTGGCCGTCCGTTGACACAACAGTTCCTTTTGTTTTTACTGCCCCGAGATATTTTCAGACCGAATAGCTCCAAACAAACAGTTTATTTGTTGGATAGCTCAAGGGTGGAAATCAACCTATTTTCTCCTCTTTGATAATAGTTTTAGATCCTCCTGTACACGTGTAATACATTAGTTATTTAATCGGCATTTTAAAAATTGTTAATTTTGTTTAATATTTTATTTGTCCTGCTAAGGAGCTTAATTTTATACACTAAATTTAATAGCAAAATGGAATGTTGAAATCTTAAATAATTGCAAACTTTTTATTATATTATTTTCTGTTTAACTGTTTTTTTTTTTTCAATAAACCTTTTGTTTAAGTATTTGTTTTGTCCAGTTATGTGTCTAGACAAAATTTAAAAGCAGGATGAAATGTTGAAATCTTAAATAATTGCGAACTATTTATCATTTTATTTGCCATTTATAACTGTTTTTTTTTCTCAGTAACAACAATTATGTTAAATAATTAGCTTCCTAGCAAAATATGTTAGATGTCATCTTATTGTTTGGTTTATTTCAAATTAATTTTAAGTTTTCCACTTCAAAATTACAAACTTATTGTGACATAATTAATTGTAAATACTGTATTTGTGTATAAAGTATTTGTAAATTGTAAATTATTGTTGTTACTTGTATACATTGTAAATAAGATTTATTAATTTAAACACTAGATTATTATATTTTATTTATACAGTATGACAGTATTTGTGCAAAGTTAAAATAAACCAGCACAGTTCTACTTACAACCTGAGTTTTCGTTTATAATTTAATTCCTGTTAGTATTCCGTAATGTTGTTTGAGATAACAAGTTTTGTAAAACTAGAGAATTCTCAAATAATTTAGTGTGTTTTGAATCATACAAGTCTCTTAATTCAAAACTGATAACAAACCTGAATTTTCTACATTCAACAACAAGCCATAATAATTTCTAATTGATTTTAATATAATTCACGATTCTTAAAATCCACATAGGTTTGTGACAACGGACTATTTGTTTGAAAGTCTGAAGAATTTTATATAAAAAGAATGTGTTAGCACAGTTAATATTTTGTTTTCGCAGCAACCAAGCTTAAAAAACTATGAAAAATTTGTTTTGGAACAAGAATTCATAGTCCGAACAACATATAAAAAGCTGAACAGAGTGTTAGCCCATAAATATTTTTTATTCGTATCAATACAAAAAGTTTGAAAAACCAGTCAATTTTTTCGACTCGAGAGGCAATAATAAAAACGTTGTCTTTGTTGAATTTATGCTGATGTTTAGTTTATTTTCAGCATTCAAAATTATTATTTTATATTATTGGTTTTTGAGGTATTAAACTCTTACTGATTTAGAGTAAAAGGTAATTTGTGGAATCACTCTACCAAGAATTTTATTTACACAGAAGTGAAGCTGAACACATTTTGAACGAGTTTTTCAGCGAAAGAAACCCAAGAGGAGCCAGAAAGTATCGCAAAAGGTTTATTTCAACCACTCAAATTTTGAGGATAGTTTAAATACAACCACATCGCAGAAAATTAACGAAATATGTGACATTCTCTTGGATTTATATAATTGATGAGAGCAAACTTGTTCAAAAACTTAAAATTTAAAAGTGAACACTGTAGTTGTTAAAAAAACACACACACTCAAAGCATGTGATGCTCAAGAAAGTAATATTCACAGTAATTTTGGCTGAGTTAAGGAATACGTTTCCTTTACATACTAATATCAATTCATAGACACAGAAATATAATGCTGTGTTACATATACAGCACAAGTACACGTGATTCCATTTTTAACAATAAATATTTTCTGGGAACGATATGCTACTTTAGAGAAAATATTCTTATTCCGTCTGCTATTGCAGAAGATTTTACAAGACAAACATATAGGCACAGCCTTAGTAAAACATATCAAACAACATAAAACTAAACTAAAGGTGTTTTACTAAATTAGACGTTCTAGATTATTACATGATTTTTATTTTATTAAAATATTGCCAAATTAAGTTTTAAAAGCTTTATAATAGTTCCCAAAATTGAGTGGGCCTATGCCCTGTTACAAACATGTAAAAAAAACTAACTGTTATCTTATATACTAAAAATCTTTTGCAAAATTTATGGCAGCAAGCCTGACTATACTACTGGACCGAATTACAAGCGGATGGTACCAAATGAAAGATATTTTACTGTAGATTTGCAGAATCCCTCTATAAATTAAAATAGGCCAAAAATAAACAGAAAAATTTATTTAAAATTTAAAAAAAATAACATGTGTTTTATGGGTTGCCATGTTGGTGAGGAAATAACAACAAGATATAAACAGAAAATCAAAACAAATGGAAGAAATTCCAATCCCATATTTTATTTGCAGCGTGCGGTGAAAATAGAAAAGTTTGCACAATACAAACTTTTGGTCGGATTTTCGACAACGGGGCAAGCTATCCTAAAAACTAAATGTTATTTAATACTTTGTTTAATAAAATATCTCTTTCTCGTAATAACAAACTACTCTATTGACTATGACATAACTTTAATCATTCTAAAATGTCGTTATTGGTCGATTAATCTCGTTCAGGTTTTAATAGGTTAATTTCTTGTTTCTTCTGCATGCAACTTAAAGAACTTTTAAATTTTAATTTGTACATTCAAATTAATTTTACTGTGTATAGTATATTTTGCAAGCAAATATAAACTTAAATAACACTATAATACTATAGGTTATCTATTTCAAGAATTCAAACGAGCTATACAAGAACTAAAAAAAACGTTCTATATAGGGATATTTGTTTTTAATAACTACATGCACACAACTATAGACCAAAACGGTCTTAAAATAACAAACTAATTTTAAAAGGCAGTACTGTACAGTGTTTCAAAATACCGCCGTAGCAAACGTGCAGACTAAGCGAATTACCATTTGCCTGATTTGATTTTCACTTATATTTATTTAAATAACATTAGGTTTAACAAGTGTTCGTTTGCTGCTACAGGGAGGGTAAAAAAATGTGTTTTTGGAAAGAATTTTATAGCTTGGTATAAAATAAATAAATTTACCAAACTTGATCAAAATATATCCATAAACAAGCAAACTACAACAGTTGACTTATTCACCTCAAGAATAACATGTGAATTTTAAATTTACCATTTTTTTATTTCAAAAATACTCTATTATACTAAATTATTTGTAATTTTAAGGTCTTCAGAACGGTTTAGAGAGAAATTAGGAAATTTTATGCATGAGGGTAAAATGAGAAAACCCAATTTTTACCCCATAAAGCCCCATTCCCATGGATTGAACCCCATGCTGGTTCACTAACTTGTTCAAACTGTAGGTTTACACGTTTGTACAAAACTCCATCGGAATCGGATGATTTTGTTCGAGTTATCGTGCTAAACAGACACATATTACTTATATTTTATGAAAATTCATAAACTTTTATTATTTGTATTTTATGAAAATTCACAAAATATAAATGATATGTGTCTGTTTAGCACGATAACGTTCAAATAAACGGATGGTGTTTTTAGTCTCTGGGTACATCAAAACGCAAAAGTAAAAGTATGGGCCCAGGTCTTACGATTATACCTACGGTAGCTTATCCCCTATTTGGGAAATTCTTTAAAACCTACCTACTGGTTAGGCAAGCCTCTAAGCACTGAATCACAGCTTTTATAGCTAATCAGTTCCACATAACTAAACCATTGGTAATTGGCGGTGATTGTACACAGGGCCTTTAAGGACAGAAGTCAGCCCAGTAACGACTTGCTCTAACATGTTACTTAATCTACTTCCAGGTCTTTGCCAAACTTGAAACTATCCTCATTGATGTCGAATCGGGTAGTTAATAAGATTCTACTAGAATTAGAAGCTTTCTAGAAAAGGTAATTAGTGTTATATTTAACAAATCAAAAAACGATACTTGTTCATATTGTTTCATATTTTGGCCTTCTGGCCGGTGCAAGTTCTGTGTTATATGGGTTTGTCTTTACTTTCATGTTAACATACGTGTTTACGAATTATCGTTGGGCATTTGATTGTTTCACGTCCAGTATTTACCTGACAGATGTTAATGAACCCAAAACGCATGTAGCCAATCGCTACACCTGTTGAAACCATCGATCTCTATTATGTAATAATAGAGATCGATGGTTGAAACTGACGGAACAAAAGTCTAGTTAACCTAGTTCGTTTAACTAATCATTCATTTTAAATCGATTGTTTCTAATGAATTATATGTACACACAAAGACACAATTTTAATAATTGTTTGAAGAACAGTGTTTATAGTTGTAGGAGGTTTATTGTTATAACTTAATTATTTAAGTATTACCTTTGACTTGATACAACTTCAGTATTCAATAGTCTTACTTTTATGAGATGGTGAAAGAGAAAATGGCTCCAGTACTACCAAAAAGCTACACAATTTCCATTTCCATACGCAAAAACATACATGTCGTGATGCTATTCCATTACATTTTGTGACATAAACTAACTAAAAAATACCTTCTATCACAACTAGTTGTTCTCCCCGTGATACAACTTCAGTATTCAATAGTCAATAGTATTACTTTTTGGGATGGTGAAAGAGAAGATGGTTCCAGTACTACACAAAAGTTACACAATTTCCATTCCCAACTGAAAAAACATACATGTTGTGATGCTATTCCATTACATTTTTGACAGAAACTAACTTAAAAACCGATATCAATTACAACTAGTTGTCCTGCCCGTACCTCGCCACGGGAGAAAACGCAGAGAAATACCACCTCGTCTAATGAAAACTGCTGGATCATTGGGTGCTTGTTCTTGATGCAAATTAGTTTTATCAATGTTCATGTTACAAGGCAAAATACTCTACATGTGCGTTTTTTTACCAGTTGGAATACATAAGGCTCCTGCAAACTCTGTGGTTCTTGTGTCACTTAATTATATCCACAACATTTGTCTGCAACATAAATTGCCGCGTTTTTTAAATATATAATAATGAACTAATAAGTAAACAATTGAAAAAATATCCCACATTATAAGAAAAACGTACTGTCGCTTTTCTTGATGAAATATTGAAATCTATGGAATGGAAGATTCTCAAGGTAGTCAAGGAAAAGTAAACAAACAAACCTAAACAAAAACG